CCTGTGACTCGTGGCAAATAGATTTACTGTCAGTCATTGAGATGATGTTCATTTTAATGACTTGTCTGGAATTTACTGCATTTTAGCTGAATGTGAAATGTAATTATTGGACATCCTGTCAGGTCTTGTCTCTGGGTAAGCAATGTGATAGGAAAAACATTTACATGTTCTCTCTTTCCACCCCATTTCTGCATCTTTAAAGTGTCAGGAATATTTCTGTAGCTTTCCAGATGAACGGTATCACCACAGGAGCGGATCGTCATGCTGTGTTTTTGTTCAATTAGTGTAATAGTAAATTTCTGCTAAGCCTGAGTTCAGTTTCCAGCTTTGTAAGACCTTGTATCACGCGTTACTGAACCATGACAGTGCTCTTTAAGGGATTCTTCCTTCTGTTCTTTATAGGTTTAAAAACAGCCCTAACTCTTAAAGACAGGTGATGCTTTGCTAGCATCAAACACTGTCAGGTTTTCTCCCATTTACGACTTTCCTCAGCCAGCTGGAGGGAGAGTGCTATGACTGAAGGAAAACTGTTGTCACTTTTACTTTGTATCACATCAGAAGAACTTACGTTATGGTCCTTTTATATCATAAAGATATGAAAAATTTTATTTTTTCCTATTTTACCGTGCGGAAGGTATTTAAAGGTATAGAGGACAATTTTTCTAGCAAGGTAAGAAACACCCAAGATACTTTCTGAATAAATGTGCACTTGCAAGACCCTCCAAACACCAAGCAGATTATATTTTTTGTAATTGATTAACTGTATAATATCACATTAATCTTAAATTTATTTTTTTAAAAGTACTGAGGTTGTTTTTACTTCTCTAAATGAATGTTAGGACGAATGTGAGGTTTTGGTCATTAGCTAGAAGTCATGTGTTGCCATTCGCTTCCTTACTAATACTCCTAAAAGCTGTAAACAAACACTTTTTGTTATCAGTTTACCTGTGTTCGAAAGAAGGAAAATATTAAGGAAGGCAAAAGCTCAGATCTCACAGCCTGTCTATGTCTCTTTTGCAGCTTTAACTCGTCCCAACAAACGTTTTGGTAGATAAACTCAATAAACTGTGTCTATATGGTTTATATTGTCATTTCAATGTGATTTTTTTGTTTCAATTAGATATTTTTAGCTCCCTATATTTGTCTCAAAGTTAATTTGTCAGAGCACACGAGGCAGATATTTATTTTCTATTATCAGTTTCAATTAACTACTATAGTCCACCGATGATGAAGACGATGAAGACGACGAAGACGTTTTTTCCCCCGCACACGTCTCCTCGGATGATCAAAGAAAATTACTCCTCTGCCATGGCGTAGTAATATAACCAACCAGAGGGTGTCGCAATTCAGTATTATCAGCCGTAGAGTTATCAATGCTGTTTTAAGGTCTGGGCCTGGCAATGAATTAAAACTTCGGTTTTTTTTGTTTGTTTTTTGGAACGTTGGCGAAGTGGTAGCGTGAGTTTAGCCAAGATAGTGCTGCGGGAAACACTGCAATACTAACATTACATTATCACACCGTACTCTCAGTCACTATGACTTACCCTTCATGTGACTCGAGAGCGCAGACTCGCCCATTGTGAAAAGCTGCACATCTTTTTTTGCAGACTTTACAAGAGGCAACTCGTGGGGTTTGTCCCCGTTTAATCCATAATTTGTATTTTTCATCTTCCAGCCAACGTTCATTGAAACAAAAACTTCCCGGCACGGTGCAGTAGTGGTTTCATGGGGGCGGAGTCACACATGGAAATAGACAGATAGCAGTCACACATAAGCGAGCAGGTTTCATTTTCGGGCTCTCCAACATTTTATTTCTCCATTTAATAAACACACAATTCAGTTAGATAGGTATTTGTTGCAAAAGAAATAGTTACAATTTCAAGCATTTTCAAGCATTTCATCCAAAATATAAGCACTTTTCAAACCTTGAAAACACAACGTCAAAAATTCAAGCATTTTCAAGGATTTCCAGCACCCGTACGAACCCTGAACATTAAATGCTGGTACATGCCTTCTTCAGACATACAGGCTTTTATCATTATAGCCACAAGTTCAGCTACTGTAATATATGTAACAAGGGTTCCTAATTTTTCTTTTTTATCAATATTCCATAGGTTCTTTGTTTCTCAAAAGCGTGTGCACATCATTTCCCTGACGCTATGTATAAACTTAAAATATGCATAAACTTTAACACTTTAATCTAATATCAGCAGTAAAACAAGTACCAGAAACCAGTTTATTCTAAAGGCTCACAAGCAGGAGAAAGAGGCAGATTCTTTTACAGACTGGCAATATGTTAGTTTGGTCTGTATCATGTTACAAGTGAGAACTGACTTACTGTAAATGTATGATGTTGTAATTGGTCCACTGGGTTTAAAAATGTGACTGTAACATTAGCGTCATATTCTGGCCAATAGGCTGTCCACCCAAACAATGCAGGATGTCCATTCATAAATCCTACCCAGCAGATCCAGCCTCTGGCTTGAAAAGTACCAGTTTCATTACTTTAACCTTGTTTCATCTTTCAAATTAGCTCTATATCTAACGGGCTCAGATACAAATTACTCAGACACACTTTGTATGTAGTAGGCAAATGGTACATGCTTCAATAAGGCGAGGCTATGCTTAACTCACTTCCACTTTTCCCGATCCTGACCAGACCCCTGCATAACCCCCACTGGCCATTTCCTATGCTCCTTTCAATAATTTAAGATTTCCAAATTGATTTATTTAAGTTGTCAACCAATAAACTTATTAAAGGAAGTTTGATCAACTTAATTCAATTACTTGTTACTGATTGAAGCAGTTCGTTTAAGATGGAGCAGTGCTTTTTAGAGTGCATCCCTACAAATAGCTCAGCCCCTAAAGTTCTCTTGGCACTAAACACATTTGTAGCATTTTTCATAATTCGTCTGAGAGCAGGTTATGTTAGAGAACAAAAGAAAAATGCTATTCATAGAATAAAAGGAAAAACTGTGCAAATAACAGCATGGATTTAAAACTTTATTAAGCTTGTCAAGAACAGTGATTGTTGTAAAGTCTACCCGCTACAGGGAGGAAGGATCTGCAATGGCTTTCTTTTTTGCACCTAGAGAACAGCGGTCTTTCAATAGTGTCATAAGTGGGACAGATGGACCCAGTATGCATGTTGAGATAGTCAGTAGGAAAGTACAAAACATTTATTAATGGAAAAAACAGACAGAACAGTTAAAAAATTGCAGAAATGTCGAGCTCCGGACCTGCAGCAACTGGAGGGGCACAATCCATCACTGACTCTGGTTTCTCTATTCAGCCCATCCTCCCTTAAATAGGTGTGATCCAGTCGATGGGCAGCCAACCAGACGCGACGTGCGCTGCGCCTACCTGGAGAACATGCAGGAGGCCGATCCAGGGCAGGGGAAGACAGAGCAGGCAGGAACAGTCCAGCTTTCCAAGAGCCAACAGCTGATCAGAAATTCCGACACAAACAGGAACAGAAGGAAAAAGGCTTCCTGGAATCCACAGAGCGTGAAGACTGGTTCAGGGACAGACGGGTCCAGAAGCGTTCCCAGACAGATGAGCACGGATGCAGACGGGCAAGCTCAGTGGTTGAGGGAACAGAGACAAGACGTAGTACCAGAATTTCTGCAGGAAACTTTAAACTGGTCTCCTCCTTGGAGCCAGGCTTACAGGAATAAAACTGACCTTCTCCACGTTCGGACCCAAAATCCTGAGGAGAGCAGAGAAGCACCAGGACACGATCAGAGGACAGGACAAACATTAAAACCCTCTCTGTTCACTGGCTGCCAGGAACCAGGCCACGACCCTTGGAACTAAACAAAACTACGTCAAGCTCCTTTTTGTACTTTGTAAAGTTTGGTACAAAATGGCCTAACCTTTAGAAGTACTGAAAGTTGGGTGGACAAAATGACAAAAAATGACAAAATGTTAAGCGTAATATTTCATTAAGAGTAAAACGATTGGCTGCTGTAAAATATTTCACCAGAGTAAATCAATTATTAGCTTTTTTTAGTCATTCCCCAGATTAAATAAATTGAGGTTCTAAAAATCAATGGGAATATTTAGGACAGAAAAAGGATTTAAACATGATTTATAGTTTATAATTACTGTTTTGATTATTTTACTACATGACAAACCTGCCTGCCTTAAAAATACCTTTATGTTTGTTGCTGTTGATGTCATTTAATCACCTATCGCTTACAGATGGGTGCAGTCCCACAACATTGCAAAGATTTCTTTCCCAAACAGCCAGAGAATTGTGGCCTTGTTAGGCAGAGAATAGAACCACAGGTTCACAGTCCCCAGGAAGAAAGCTACTTAAGAGCAGGGAAAAATAATTATTTGATAGTTCTGTGGTGTCACAGCTGTCACCTCTTTGCCCTCAGCAGTCAGCCGGTGTTGGCTTGGCGTTCGCTGAGGAGGTGGGGGGGGGTGTTTGAATGACGTTTTCAGCTCTCTAATCTGGGGAGCAGAGAGGTGCTCCTATCGCTGACAGTGTGACTGACAGGCAGGCGGAGAGGACCCAGCTGTGATGGCTGCTGTCGGCTCAGTGGCAGCCTTATGATGAATTGCCTCTCCTGAATGATAGCGCTGTTACCGAGTGATGTCGACGCAGGATTGTTCTGTCACTGCCTCACCGACGACCACAAAATCCCAAAAATAAATAAATAAACAAGCAGAGAAATGAAGTGCTCTGCAACTCGTCCCCCATCTTTTTACTTTATATTAAAGCTGCCACGCCTCATACATCTCCATAAGCAGCAATATGGAACTAGAAGCTTGTGGAGAAATAAGGGAAGGAAGCTGCCTTATATACCTACAAACTTTTAAAGCGACATAAATCATTTTTCATGCTTATTTTTCTTGTTTCAATTTTCAGCTTTAGTGTGAGTGGAAACTTCCATGGCTGCAGCACTACAACTTAATTGACTTTAAAGTGAAATAAACAGTAAATTATTTTTTATATGTTATATTCACTTTTTTTTTCTCTCTGCTTGCAGCTCAGATGACTACTATGAATACGGACACAGCGGGGAGTCGTATGAATCGTACGGTGAGTCGCAGACCTCCTCCTCCTCCACTACATATAGTGTCAATTGTCAGAACAATATCTCCCTTCATTTCCTGACTCTGCTCTGCTGGCTTTATCTCAGTTGCCATAGCACCTGGCTAATGGAGTGCTGTTTCAGACACATTCAGAACGAGAGTGTTTAAAAGTCATTTGTCACTAATCAGAACCTCTTCAGCTCATTTAGATAATTAGGTGGAAGCAGTGTTGTTCTAAATTAAAAACAATTACCTGGAGTGGAAGCTTGAGGTGCAGGAGTTTATATTTATAACCACGGTGTTGTAAATGTTGACTGACATTTCTTTGCATCGTTTTAATATATCCTTTGGTGATTGTTTTGCAGAACGTTTGAGAGGAATGAAATCACTCTTCATACCTGTAAAGATTTCTATTGCTGAACCTAATGCTGATTTCCTCCTCTCTGCTGTGGAATATGCAAAGATATTTCTGAAATGAAGTTTCTGCAAATATATGTCATTAAAAGGGCAGCAAAGTTCGTTGGCTACCAGTTTGGTAGTTTATATTTCTTTATTCTTTTTATTGAAAAGTGATCTGCATTTTTACTCAGCCTCCCTGGGTCAATATTTTGCAGCTTCCAAGATTTTTTATTTACACATTTATTTATTTGTTTATGTTTGTACCGATTTTGCACATTTCAGTTCAGTTAGTCTGGATGAAGAGTTTTTTTTTTTTTAATACATCAAACTTTTTATCAGATTTTTAGCTGGATTTTCAGAGTGAACCTCGAATGCATGAATGCATTTTGGTTTCAATCACTTCATCTTAGCTCTGGACACTAAGCTTAGTGTCCAGCTGAAAGGTGACCCTTTGACTAATCTTAAGCAGATTTTTAGTAGGAAAACTCTGCATTCACTCTGCATTTTGGACACAAAAGGAACATTCTGGTCACATGTGAGCAGAGCACAGCTCCTCCGATGTCAGAATTTTCCACAAGGCTTGTTGGGATTCTCAGGCTTGCCCACCAGAGGGCCCGAGGATCCTCTTCTGCTCTCTTTTTGTCTCTTTGTCTTAGGGCTGGAGTCACTCTCAGGTTCTGGAGATTACCCTCTGCCTCCAGCAGAGTGCGCCGTGGGTCCTCCTGAGCTGAGCCTCTCACACACCTGTGGCTGATCTACTAATCAGGAGGACCACAGTATTCAAGCTACCTCCAGACCTGGATTCCACGCCGCAGTGTTGATCTTAGTTGGAATCCTGTCTCCTCGTGAAGCTCTGGATGAGCTTAACCTCCTGTCTCCTCGTGAAGCTCAGGAAGAGCACCCTCACTGGAACCCAGTCTCTGGTCTGCAGCTCTGGAGGAGCTGCATCTCAGGAAACCAGTCTCAAGCCTGAAGCTCTTGAAAAGCCTAACCAGCTAATCTGCCCTGGTGAGCCAACCCGAAGATTTCTATGTGGATGAAACCTGACGACTTCTCTGTGGAGTTTCCCTAGAGGTTCCCATGTGGATTTCCCCTGTTGTTCCCTACGGTGAGCTGGAAGCTCAGCCTGAAAGATCCCTCGTGTTTTCCCCTGTTGTTTTCTGTAGTAAGCTGGAAGCTAAAACCCAGGACTGCCAGGCTAAGCCAAAGCTAGATGCTTAGCCTAACCTGAACTCAGCTACCAGCCATCTCCCTTTCCCTGCACAGACCCCAGTGAACCAGCCTCCTGTCAGAACTGTTCCGGTTTCATACTCATGTGTTTTGTGCTACAATAAACTCTTTTGGACTTTTTGCCCTGTGTCTCCGTGTGTGTTCTGCATCTTGGGCTTTACTCCCAGAACCCATCATGACAGAACACTGCGGCCAAACACAAAGCCCAGCAGATCACCTCCGTCGTAGAGCTGAGAAACAGTACGCTCTGAGTCCTGATCACACACAGTCCCTCCGTGAGTTAAAATCCCAGTTGGACTTTAAGAAAACACACGTTTCAAGATCCCACAGGCTTCGTGGGAATCACAAGATGGCGCCAGTTCAACGTCCGGTTCCGGTTTCGTCACTTCCGGAATTCCGTCCGTCACCTCCCAGTCAAGATAATAACCCTTCTTTCTGTTCTGAACTCACCCCGTCGCTTTCGTCACCCGGTCCTTCTCTGCCTGAGAGATTTTCCGGCAATCCAAGAAATCTCAAAACATTTCTATTTCAGTGTCGGTTGTTTTTTCAATTTTTCGAGTCAGATTTCCTGTATGATAGGGATAGGATAGCCTTTGTAATTTCTTTTCTGTCCGGTGAAGCCCTTGAATGGGCGGAGACCGGATCTAGATCTTCTCACTATGATTATGAAACGTTCATCCAGGAGTTTGAAAGGACTTTTAATCAGGTCATAAATAAATCCTGGTTTTCAAGGGGACTTTTGGAATCCAAACAGGGAAATAGATCAGTTGCCGAGTTTGCTTCCGAGTTCCAGGAAAAAGCAGCCGTTTCCGGGTGGAATGAGTCTGCACTTAAGACTGCATTTCTCCAAGCATTAAATGAACCGATCAGAAACGAACTAACCTTTTATGTTGAACCAGATAACCTTGAGAACCTCATTGAGCTTGCAGTCGGGTTAGATATTGGACTGCAAACTAGACCCAGAACCGCACAGCCTCAGTTTCTAGATTCCAGTTCCATTCCGCGCCAGGTTAGTTTCTCCTCATATATACTCGACCCTCACTTAGCTCCTTCTGTCAAAGGACTCAAATTAGGCCCACAAGTTAAAGTTCAAACTACTAGAGTCACCCGTCAGCTTGATCAGACACCTGCACCCGTCACCGTTGAATCTAGACCTGTTCTCTCGCCTAGTAATCTAGCTCCCCACATCCATGAGACAGATCTCTGGAACTTTTTCTATGGTGATAGGGAGGATATCTCCCCTTTCGAGCCACCACATCCAGCTCCACGCCAGTGTTATTTAGATCCTGAACCAGTTAGTTTTAATCCTGACCCCATGCCTGACTCTTTAGCCTCAGTTCCTGAAATTCATTCTGGTATTCATATTTTTCAACCGGTTAGTTTATCGACAGATTCAATCAATAAACCTGTTAGCCCCGCTTCTAAGACCCCCCAATGTAAGAGACGGCGTCGCCGTAAGCACGCTCTGAGCCGTCTAGAGACCCCTGAGTTAGCTTTGTGCCGTCCAGAGACCCCTGAGTTAGCCCTGTGCCGTCCAGGGACCCCTGAGTTAGCCCTGAGCCGACCGGAGACCCCTGAGCATACACTTAAGAGGGCTTCAGAATGTGGAGTTTGTGAAGAAATTCCTCCAAGAGCCTTTCAACAGAGACCACTAATCGCCAAGAACCCTCCACCGACGCCTCAAGCCACCTCAGAGACTGAACTTGAGCCTCCATGGGTGGCCCCTCCGTTGCCAGAGGTGGAACCGCAGTCGGTGATCCCACCTGCTCCTGAGTCTGAACCGCAGTCGGTGGTGTCGCCTGTCCCTGAGGTGGAACCACAATCGGTGGCCTCACCAGTTCCTGAGGCTGAACCACAGTCGGTGGTGTCGCCTGCTCCTGAGACGGAACCACAGTCGGTGGTCCCGCATGTTCCTGTGGTGGAGCCACTGTCGGTGGTCTCCCCTGTTCCTGACCCAGAGCCGCAATCGGCGGGATCTCCTGCTCCTGAGCCGCTATCGGTGGGCTCTCCAGACCCGGAGCCGCAGTCGGCGGTCTCCTCTGAGCCTCCTCCAGAGCCGCAGTCGGCGGCTGTTTCTGAGACTGTTCCTGAGCTGCCGAGGAGGGGACGGGGTACCCCGTGGGGGTACCTGCTGAAGCTTGGGCGTCATCCTCCTGATAAGCTGCTTCGCCTCCGGCCCCGCGGCAGACCTCCAGAGCGTCAGCTTCGCCTTCGGCCTCGCGGCAGACCTCCAGAGCGTCAGCTTCGCCTTCGGCCTCGCGGCAGACCTCCTGAGCGTCAGCTTCGCCTTCGGCCTCGCGGCGGACCCCCAGAGCGTCAGCTTCGCCTCCGGTCCCGTGGCAGACCCCCGGAGCATCATCTTCATCGTCGACCCTGTGGCAGACCCCCAGAGTGTCAGCGTCGCCTTGGCCCCCCCTGCCGGCCACCTAAGACTCTGCTCCGTTGCCGGATCGTAGGCCGGTCACCTGAACTTCAACCGTGTCTCCGGCCCGGCGGTGGTCCCCCTAAGACGCTGCTCCACCATCATCTCAACGGTCGACCTCCTGAGCAGCAACCACGCCTCCGCCGTCGGCCCCACGGCAGGCCACCTGAAACTGTGTCCTGCTGCCGGCCCCACGGCAGGCCACCTGAGACTGTGTCCTGCAGCCGGCCCCACGGCAGGTCACCTGAGACTGTGTCCTGCAGCCGGCCCCACGGCAGGTCACCTGAGACTGTGTCCTGCAGCCGGCCCCACGGCAGGTCACCTGAGACTGTGTCCTGCAGCCGGCCCCACGGCAGGTCACCTGAGACTGTGTCCTGCAGCCGGCCCCACGGCAGGTCACCTGAGACTGTGTCCTGCAGCCGGCCCCACGGCAGGTCACCTGAGTATGTGTCCTGCAGCCGGCCCCACGGCAGGCCACCTGAGACTGTGTCCTGCAGCCGGCCCCACGAGACTGTGTCCTGCAGCCGGCCCCACGGCAGGTCACCTGAGACTGTGTCCTGCAGCCGGCCCCACGGCAGGTCACCTGAGACTGTGTCCTGCAGCCGGCCCCACGGCAGGCCACCTGAGACTGTGTCCTGCAGCCGGCCCCACGGCAGGCCACCTGAGACTGTGTCCTGCAGCCGGCCCCACGAGACTGTGTCCTGCAGCCGGCCCCACGGCAGGCCACCTGAGACTGTGTCCTGCAGCCGGCCCCACGAGACTGTGTCCTGCAGCCGGCCCCACGGCAGGCCACCTGAGACTGTGTCCGGCTGCCGGTCCCTCGGCCGGTCATCTGAGACTCAGTCCCGCTGCCGACCCCTCGGCTGGCCACCAGAGACTTTGCCCAAGAAGGTTTTTGGGTTTTCATTTGTTTTCGTCCACCATAAGTGGATCGTTTTTTGTTCTGGACTCTGTTT